AGTTTGTATTCTAAAGACATACTTTCTATATCTGGAAGAATTCTAATTTGAAAAAATACATGCACCTCAGCGTTCACAGCAGCACTATTCACAATAGCCAAGACATGGAAACAACCTAAGTGTTCATCAACAGATGACTGGAAAGAAGATATGGTATATATACACAATGGAATATGACTCAGCCATAAAAAAGAATGGAATACTGTTATTTGCATCAACATGGATGGATGTAGAGACTATCATACTAAGTGAAGCAAGCCAGAAAGAGAAAGAAAAATACCATATGATATTGCTTACACATGGAATCTGAAAAAATGAGACAAATAAACTTATTTACAAAACAGAAATAGATTCACAGACACAGAAAACAAATTTATGGTTACCAAAGGAGGAAGGGGATCTGGAAGGATAAACTTGGAGGTCAGAATTTGCAGATACTAACTATAATATATAAAATAGATAAACAACAAGATCCTAGTGTATAGCACAGGCAACTATATTCAATACTTTGCAATAGCCTATAATGAAAAAGAATATAAAAAGAAATATATATATATACATGTATAACTGAATCACTATGCTGTACACCAGAAATTAACATGACATTGTAAACGGACTATACTTCAATTAAAAAAAAATAAAAATATGTTTTTACTTTAGACTTTGTTAGTTTGATAAAAAGAGTGAAGTTCTCTAAAGATGAGTCCATGCACAGTTTTTTTTAATATTAAGATACAGTATCTTATTGTAAGGTCATATTATAACTTATCTATAAGAGAAACAGTCATTTCCTATATCAGATATAAATATGACGGCTACTGTTATTACTGTATAACTTGGAGGCAGCAGGAGAGTTTTGCGGGGCCTAACACGATGCATCCACCAGGCAGGAGCGAGTCATTCCTGCTTTAGAGACAGAAGAACTTATAACACTGTGGTGCGAGGGGCGCTCCACTTCTGGAGCTGAGGTGAGGCTGCAGAGACCCACTTCTGAGGCAGAGCAGCGCCAGGAGAGCATCCAAGGTGGGAAAGAGAGAGGGGGAGACCCTCAGACTCTGGCAGGGAAAGGCTAGTTTTGAGAGACCGGTGACCCTGCTGTGGGGATTCAGATCATAAAGTGTTGGTGGTGGCAGTGTTGTCACCACCCGGCTCATGTAGCCGGAAGGCTGCTGTGAATGTTAGGGAAGCAAGTGCTGGTTACACAAATATATTATTTGAATCCTTTCCTGATTTCTGTACGAGAGGACTTTTTTTTTCACATGACTTTTTTTGTCTTTATGGTCAAATTTTCCATCAGGTCCCATCCCAGTAACCACAAATGAGACTTACAGTTTGGAGTTTGGAGTTGCTTGTGTGGGCAGAAGCCAGCACTTCTACAAACAAAAGTGTAAGGAACAAGTTCTTGTCCAGTTAACGGTGGAAAAACCCAGCCTACGCCAGCGACATCCACACAGCGGTTGACACACTGGCACTGAAACGGCCGCACCCTGTGGCCTGGGACCGCAGGCTGAGAGCAGGTGCCGTTCTCTTCAAAAGTCTGCTAGCGTGATCATCTCTAAGACACACAGGCACGGAAAACCAACTGATGGTTACCAAAGGGGCAAGAGGGGAGAGGGATACATTAGGTGTTTGGGATCAG